TGGCCTCTTTGACTCATCGTTTTACGAGTTTGACTCATCACTGACCACATTGGTTCATCGTTTCATCATGGCATTTTATCGTTCCATTATAGTGCCACTGAAACAAAATTTTCGTATCTGAGATTTTTGCATAATAATAAAGTTTGAACCTTACAAGCACTGTTAAGTTTTTTTTGGTCCAATGGAGTGCGGAAAGCTTTGCTTTAGCCCTTTGAACTTGGCTAGTCGAGCCCAAAATTGGTGGCCATCTTGGCACGGCCAAAACAGTCTTGTGACTTCACTGGTTGTATACATCTCAGAACTCTGAGGAAACCCCAAGTGAGCATGGAGTGTGGTGAAAATGTTAAGAAGCCCCAAAAAAGTCTTTGGGCAAGTACTGTGTTGCTGGTGGGCCCGGGAATGCTAGTTGTACAAATAACTCCAGAAGAGAGGGCATATCGATGCATACGTTTCCTTGTAACAATATAACTCGCGAGAAATGGGTTCACTTTGTGCGAAGAGATCTGGCAAAATGGCAGCCATTGAAAACATTAGTACTGTGTTCGGTGCATTTTGAATTGTCAGACTTTCAGTAGGGACTCGATCTAAATCTTGGTGAAGGTTCTTCCTTTCAAACAAAGGGATGGCTAAAGAAGGATGCTGTGCCAACCAAAGATTGTGTACAGCAGCAAGAAAATGCCTTGACCTCACGTGAGCAAAGAATGGTAAGTGTGTCCTTGCAAATGGTGTGAAAGCTCGCTCTACGTTTTGATGAGGAATAAATATGCAGAATGTTGCTTTATGATTGATTGGATATCTATATTTATATTCTTACACTTAGATTATTCCACGTGCTTCTAAGCTGCTCATTACTTCTCCCGAGGAGTCGAAAGAAGCTCCTCACAGATCTGACATTTTGGCTGATTGGCTGATTTGCTGTCACTGCCATGTGATTGCGACCAATAACATTTTGACGTCTGTCCACTGACAAATGTGATTCATCCCTCTGATATCGAGTCCAAGGACTGTTGTTCAACACCTACCTGAACATGCGAAGTTTCATAAGAGTCCGTCGCAAGCTCGTAAAAATATGGGACCTCAAAGTTGCCAATTGGTATAAATATCATGAGGGTGTTAAAAGGAAAACTCAACAAAAACAATCAACATGGCGCTCTTAAGAAAACTTTTTCCCTTAGTTTATTGTTTCATTATTTTCAAGAGAGCAGAATGTTCATCAAGTTTATTGAGAGTAGATAACAAGCTCCTGCTTAAGAACCGTAGTATTCTTCCATCAAGAAAATTTTGTTTTCTTGAAAATGCTGATTTGAGTAGCACTAGCAGGCACGCAATATCCTCGGGAAAACAAAACAATTTTAAAAGTATGCATTCACTTCCTTCCTTTTAGCTAATTTCTTTTGTAACTGCTCTGGTCTTTGGCTTGTCCAGACACAAAGTAGCACATGCAGCCGGAAATGAGAACAACCTGGATCATGCTCTAACAAAATGTTGTTTAGAGAGGAAGCAAAAAGTCACCAATAAAATGCATTCCTTATGCGCGAGTAAGGATATGAATGCAGAGCCTCCAGTGATACGAAAAAGCCCTGGAAGAGACGAGGAACCAACAGATAGCCAGGTGAGTAGCTTCACTATGGAGTACATTGACGCTGGACATCATTGTCACATGTAACAGCCGTTTGGTCGGTACTGAAGAGGTTTCAAACATGAAATTGTTTCCAAATAATTTTACTAATTTTACTATAAATCATTGTCGATGATAGCTGAGTTTGAATGGTCTAATCAATTTTGGAAGCTTTATTAATAACAGAATAGCTCCAAGTTTCACCTACATTTAAATATTACTACTGTCTTAGAGCCATATCACCAGGAGTAAGGCCAATTGCCAAAGGAACCAGAAAAAGCTACATGAATCTACCTCAACAGTACCCTTGACAGGATACAGGATACAGAATTTGTGGCTTCAGACAAATGCCAATTCTGTGGCCAAGGTATATGCTGTACAGTAGTTTTACAATATTCCTAGGCATCTACGGCCTACCAACATTGGCTCATATTTTTTCATGAAGACTAAAATGTGAAAGGAATGTTTTCACAGCAGTGAGGTTAGAAAAAAACAGATGAATTCACGGGGCTCGCAAAAATTCCTTTGCCATAAAATTGAACCAATTTTTGTTGCATGTAAGCTGTAGTCACCTGTATTTATCAATTATTTTGGTGCAGCTGGTTGTTGTTTTGAATGGAGATAATTCAGAATCCTTGTTTATAACAAGTAAAATTTACTCTTCTCTAAGTTTACACCAAACAGTCAGTATGGTAACACCCCAGGGGAAACTCCATGTAAAAATGATAAGATACTCTGGCAAATTTTTTAAAGAGAACCACTGGCAAGGTGTCATGATCAATTTTGAAGGCCAGGCATCAGCTGATTTCTACCAGTGTTGACTCCCTACTGGCAAGAGCTAAAATAGTCTGTGCAAAGACCAGCTGTACTACTCTATGTCCTCTGCCTGGAGGGTTTTGGTACTTGGATCAAATACAGTAATTACTATGGTAACCCTGTCAGCGGTCATCCGCATTGTAATATATAGCGTGCGGTTTGTCAGCTTGTCAGCAATCGCATGTCAGTAGCGTTAAGAAAGACTTCTAGTTGCCTGTTTCGTCAATCTCGTATAATATCTCCGACTTTCGCAGCGACTAACTCTCCAAAAGATGGCCATGGCTAAGGATTTCGAGTACAATNGTCATCCGCATTGTAATATATAGCGTGCGGTTTGTCAGCTTGTCAGCAATCGCGTGTCAGTAGCGTTAAGAAAGACCCAGCCCACCCTACCCATGGGTCTCTTTTCCTTAGCTGAACGACATCAATAAAGATTTGTTTGTTTGCCCAGCCAGTCTCTCCCTTGTGTCTATCGTGGTGTGTGATGGTAATTCTTTGACACTACATGTGCAAGTTGTATAATCACAGTGTTCAGTGCCGATCAAAATTGATTACATTTCATTTTATAATGTATAAACAGTCTGTAGAAAGAACCTATAGTTTGAATTTTCTATTACTTTGCTAGTTACATGCACTACTTGAGCTTTCAAAAAGGAGTTTAAGTTATTTCAAAAATTATCAACTCTAAACTAACAAGCAAATGAAAGCAGGCACACATTCGCTCCGTGACCTATATTTTACTCCTTTTTATGGAATTCTTTAACGTTCCAAATAACCTTTCAATTCTCCGAATCCACCAATAATAATAAGGTTTGGTTACTTTGAAACTACAAATTGGAATGATAAGATTGGATACGAAAATTCTGTTTCATTAGCACTTTAAGTAATACTTTCTTGGCTTCAACAAGCAAAATTGTGCAGTTGACCTCAATTACTATCAGTTTTGTCTAGAAACAGCTTCGCTTGTTTCCTTGCCATCCATACTCGTGTAATTCCTGGCCTTTAAATGTAGGGTGTTTCCCGCAGGGAAAATTTAGGGAGCTTAAGCAAACCACGACGACGACGGCAACGAGAACGTCACCAAACAAAAGATTTAATTAGTAGAGCAATAGCGGTGCACGTGCGTTATAAATCTTTGTACATTTCTTTACCGTTCTCTGCAAAACAAGAACGCTAAATGACCAAGTTCCGTGTAGTCTGAGGAACGCGAACGATGACGGCTAGTTTTTCGCATTTACATTTGGTATTGAACGCTGTCATTGAATATCTAGCCTGAGCACGCCTTTAGAGCCATTAGCGTACTGGACAGATCTAGACAATTGCGAATTTTGCTGATAAAATATGAATTCATCTTTGGCTAGGCATCGTCTTTGGTGTCGCCGTCGTCGTTGCTTAAGCTCCCTTTTAATTAACTCGGTTCAACTTCAATGTCCGTTGCAATCAAACAGTGGTCAATGGTACTTCTGTGCATGAGAATATTTCAAAAAACGAGCAAGATTTAATGAGTGTGTGTAGTTTGGACGGAAAACATTTTGAAAACAGAGCCTTTCGAAAACGATGACGTCACGATAATGGCGGGAACAGCAAGCACCTAGCCACGTGGGTTTCATTAGTCCCTTACTGATTATGCGCGTGCTCAAGGGTGCAGGAAGCGCTTCTACCGCCGGTGATTGTTGCGTTTTCAAAATCATCCGGCGTAATGTTAGTCTCGTCTTTGGGAGCAGTGCGTGACATCACAAAAAACGGCTACGAAGGAGACTAGCGTAGTGTGGACGGAAAACATTTGATGCGTTATTAGAGTGAAAACGCCGTTTTCAAATTTCTCCGACACACTTAAGAAAAGTCTGCATATGCACCAAGAGGCCCATCAGCTCGGAGCTTATCCTGTTTCTGTAGCATGAAGCGACTAGGAGTATTTCTACTCCCCCCTGGATGGGATGCTAGTCCATCGCAGGGTTACCCCCAGCATTAACTTCGCCGGTACCCATTTATACACTTGGGTGGAGGGAAGCACCGTGAGAGTAAAGTGTCTTGCCCAAGAACACAACACAATGTCCCCGGCCCGGGCTCGAACCCGGACCGCTCGATCCGGAGACGAGCGCACTAACCATGAGCCATGGCGTTAGAAATCACCCTTAATATTACGCAATGTTATAGGCTAAAATTTGATATTGTACGAAAGGTAAATCGATTTAGCCGCGTGAGGGGGGAAGGAAATTTCGATCTCCGAACTGAAAAGTTAAAATGTTCTATGGCAGTGATACGTGAAGACATGATTGATCATCGCAGTTATATGCACAACTTGAGCAGCTGTGAAATTAGTGATATATGTTATGAGTAATATTTTTTTTCTTTAAAGATATTTTTATTAGGGCACTTACACAACTTATAATACAACAGCTACTTACAATACCACACAAAATGGACACTACTTATGAGTTACAGCTACTTATAAAACCATATCAAACACTACGAAAGTAGATTGTTTTGGCGCAAGATAGCTTAGCATAATTAATGACTTGGTTGATTGACATTTTAGAGTCCGAAGAAACATCGGAAAAAAATGGAGAAGTACAAGGCAAGATATCACCACGAACAGAAGGGGGTGAAACGAAAGGAGGTGCATGTGGAACAACTGCTGATGAAATACCAGGTACATTGATGCAATTGTGGGAGAACGTTTATTATAGACCAACTGTTTCTTAATCAGAGTGTAGTGATTACATTCTTCTGCAGCCTTAGTCAGATTCAAATACCAAGTAAAGTCGTAAAAGAAGTCAACAGTTTTCTCTAGCGCCAATGTTTTCAGTGCGGTGGAAACAAGTTTACTCACAGTAGTTATTTGCTTTTATTTTTGATAGAAAATTAGGCGAAATAGGGAACGAAAGATGGTTTTTAGGTTACAATTGCTTAGTTTGCTTTGGTTTTTCAATACGTATAGAAAACAGTTGTCGACAGTGTTCTACTGAGCATGTTCCTCATTCAAGATGAAAATACTAAAGAAGACAGGAGAGACCACAGAGGCCGGCTGAGAGGGAAGTAGTGCGAATTAGGAAGAAAGAGCCGATATCAGAAAACAGGGCCTAACTGCAGCTCTTTTCAAATTCAGCTCAAGCATTTCGCATTTTCATCCGTGAGCTTTGAACTCTTTGTTCCGTAATTTCTACTGGAAAAGTGCAGGTTTTCATGAGCCACAATGCGGCCGGATTCCACTGGACAAGAAACTTTTGATCCCTGTTTTTAAATTAAACTAAAAAGCGAACTTTGAAGGGATCGTTCTTCTCCCTAAGACCACTGGAAACCAAACGTTTAGCTGAAGTCCAGTTTATGATTGACAGCTGTTTTCTCGTGAACTAAGCAAATTATTTGAACAGTTCCAACAAGGATTGTGATTAGCTTATTTTAGCGTGCTTTATGAGAGTTCAGCTGCACGCTTACGCCACTTTTACTCGTTTGGAAAATAAGGTTTGGGTTGAAATATTAGCCAAAAGCGTGGGAAATGAATGGATCCTTTATCATAAAACAAATAAAGAAGCCTCGACTGTGCTCTGTTCGGTTGTAAAGCACTTTGGACGCGGTAGAGCACGAAAGAAGTAGGGAGAAACACTCAACTACGTCTCGTGTTACCCTCTACTCTTCTTTCGTGCTCTACCGCTTCCTCCATGTTTTACAACCGAACAGAGCACAGTCGAGGCTTCTTTATTTGTTAAATATAAAATTAAAATCAGGCTCAATGTTTTATCTTACTATCTTTTATCCAAAATCGCCCAATCAATCTTTTTCTCAAGAAAAACACCCTTCTTTAAAAAAGAGGCTTAATGCCTGATTATCTTACCGAATTGTAGGTACGTCATTTATCGTAAATTTGTTTTGTGCTGTGGATCGTAACAAAACAAACTTGCTGGATTAACCTAACCATTACTGTTGAGAGTTTACTGGAATGTTCCTACCTACAGAGGCTCACTCACAAAAAAGTAACTACTGCACGCCTTGCTTGCCCAAGTTTAAATTTTGTAGTTCCAACAATTTTGTTAAAGTGGAAACGCAATCAATGTTTACAGAGCCTGACGCTAAAAAGGAACCTAACGAAGGAGACACACAAAAGACAACAGCAGCGGAGAGTCAATTTCCAGCGTCACAAGGCGCAGAAGGCAAAAGTCAAGGTAACTGACTAATTCAGTATTTTGGAACATGTCTCTCATGTCTCTATATGCAATAAGTGCATTGGATATTAGATATTTGCAAAATGTCTGGATAATAGCAATGATGAAATACATTAGAAAACACGACACTCTTAAGTTTTACCACCAGGTTTCAATTCACACTGAACATGGCGGAAGCATCTGCCGAAACATGTTTGTAAAACATATTAGAGAGTACACTCCAAGGAACCAAATTGTTTTTGTCCTTTTTGTTTTTCTGTCACCACACCTTGTCAAGTCGATGCATTACTTCAGCCATTGAAAACTACAGCTTTTAAACAATATAAAAAGTACACGCGCTCTAACCTCCAAAACACCCATCAATTAAATTACTACTAATAGTACATGACTGAATTACTATTAGTATTTAAATGGCGCATTGTAACGTATTCTATTTTTAACAATTTGTCGTCATTCAAGATGAAAACTTTGACCAAGAAAAGAAACAACCTCATGGAGGAGGCGGGAGAGGAGCATCCGGCCGGAAAAGCGACAAAGGTCAAGGGCTGTCGTCGCCTGGAAAAGGCAAACCGTCATGTGAGTACAAAAAATGGCCTCATTTAATTATCATTAGTTTGAATTCAGTTGGAGGAATCAATACATTCTTGGAGATTTACTTAATCCTTTAACCAAACGACTGTTTGTACCAATACAAGAACGGAAATGGTATTTTTACTTACAAATGCATATTGTCTTATAATACAGGTAGAAACCAAGAACAACGTCCAGGAAGGCCTTTTGCAATGAATGCTGATTCCCATTCATCACCACAAGACAAATCGCAGCCCCCTCCTGTTCGTACATTTTCCCTTGCAAAATGTGTCCTAGACCTGAAAACGTTAAAAGAGATGAATCCCAGTAATGTAGTCTACAGGTTAAATGAAAGTATGGCTCGCTTTAAGTTCTTTCTACGATCACAGCAGGAACAACACGACAGCGATGAGTTCATCTTGGACCTCACGTGTACATCGGCAACTGCCTGTAGTGCGCCACCGGATAAGAACACAAACGAGATTCTAGCCGCGCTTAAAGGCTCGGTATTCTTGAGTTCAAAGATTCCTCGTCTGCTTGATCGTCTTCAAGTGTCAACGATTTTGAATGAGCAAGAATCTCAAAGAAGATTCATTCAAAGCTTGATCAAAGTATTCACGAGGTATTTGAGGCACTTACCAAGCTCATATGCCGACCTGCCTTACTCTCAGTTGAAACAATTTTTGGACCAGTCAAGTATTGATGAAAAAGATGATCTACAGAGAGAGTTAGAAGCTTTAAAGCAAACCAGAGATGACCTCATTATAGCTGAAAGGCAGAAGCATGGCAAACGTTACATTGACAAGGCTGGGCAAAAACCTCCAAACGATTTTAGAGACATACCGATTTGTCCCACAAACAAAGAAATCACATCTCATGCACGGCCCTTTCTTCGAAAGAATATTTTAAAGGGAAGATATGAAGATGCCGAGCACTACCTTGATGTACAGTTTCGGTTGCTTAGAGAGGATTTTCTTGAGCCACTTAGGGAAGGCATCCATGAAATTGTCCACAACGTACCAAGAAAACAGCGCAATCTGTTAATGAAATATTACCCAGGGGCACGTATTGTCGACAAGAAATTTACGCCGTCCGGAATCATTTATCAAGTACAATTTGATGTTTCTGGGTTGGATACCAAAAGATGGGCAAATTCCAAACGACTTCTGTTTGGGTCATTACTTTGTCTTTCAAACAACAAATTTGAGACAATGCTTTTCGCAACAGTTTCCAAACGAGATCCAGAGGAATTGGCAGAAGGTAGAATTGAGATTCGATTCATCGAGGACCAAGATGTATTGGGGGTGGAAAACCGTACATGTGAGTATCAAATGGTTGAGTCGCCTGCCTACTATGAAGCCTATCGTCACGTTCTCAAAGGCCTGAAGGAAGTGGATGAAACTACCATGCCATTCAAGAAATATCTGATTGAATGCAGTGAAGATGTTGATCCACCCGAGTATCTGAGACGCGAGGATTCTCAAGAACCAGTGTGCTATAATCTTAGGTTGGCATTGGATGTTCCGGATGCAATAAATGCCAGTAGGGTACCTGTCCTGCAGCTCGAAGCCTGGCCTTCTGTTGAGATCCTTCCACTGAACAGCTCCCAGCTTGAAGCAGTAAAAACAGCAGTTACAAAAGAGTTTTCTGTCATTCAGGGACCCCCAGGAACAGGGAAGACGTATGTTGGAGACAGAATCGTTCGATGCTTACTTGAGAATCGAGCAGTCTGGGACCCTGATAAAGTCACGCCAATGCTTATGGTCTGTTACACAAACCACGCTCTGGATCAGTTCTTGGAAAAAGTATTAGAATTTCTTCCCAAAGATCAGATCATACGTGTTGGAGGAAGATGCAAAAGTCCGCTACTAGAAAAGTGTAATCTGAAACTATTTACTGACGAGTACATAATGCATGAAAGACGAAGGGAAATCAAAGATCTGATACACAGAAAAGTCTGGGAAATGAGAGAGTGGAAGGAATTACTTTCGAAAGCAGACAACGAGCTTTTGGAATTCGGCGATTTGGAAAATCTGCTGGATTCTGAACATGCACAGCAGCTCTACGATGCCATATTTCCTCCTAATGCAGAAAACGAGTGTCGGACGCCAGACAACGCTTTCAAACTCTGGCTTTGTGGCAACAAGCAAATGGACTCCTTCAACCGACCTATGGTGGAGCAGGCGAGGACAAGGCAAGGCGGATCTGTCCTTCAAGACAATGATGTAGGTGAAGACCATAAAATATACTACTACGCTACTCTGTTAGCAGCACCACATGACAATGATGAAGGCAGAGGCAGCAATCCACTATCACCTACGTCTCAGGAAGAACGCAAAGAAGACTCTCTTTACTGCGACGGACCGAAAGGCTTCTCAGCTCAACAAAGCAGCAAGCTGGCAGCATCAGTTGGGTCTCAAGTTTCTCACACGTTGAAGGAAGTAGAAGAAATCCAAGACATCAAGTGGATTAAAGACCCTCAAGGCTGGAAAAACAACGCTAATGAAGGTGTTTATAAAATAGCAGAAGTTTTCGAGGAGACCATCGAAGTAGAAAAGGAAGCTGATTTGATACAAGATCAAAGATTCATACATGGAGATGAAGATTTCCTGTCAGTTATGTCGAAACAATCACATGACTCGAGTTATCAGAAACAAGACCAGGAAGACAAGGAAGACCTAGAAGAGGGGTGGGAAACTGTATCCTACAAGAAGAAGGGAAAAACATTTCCATGGCAGCAAACAACAGATAAGAATTCCAAATACGGAATGGGAAGCGCTCACGTTCCAAGAGAGAAAAGTACAGCCCAAAGAAACTCCTCAAAGAGAAACGAAAACAAGAAAATAAAAATAACAGCAGATATGAAATCTTTGAAGCCGGATCTGGGAAAAACAGTTGCGATGCCTACTGATGAGGCAATGAGCGTTGACAACATTTGGCTTTTATCTCCTTCGGATCGACGTCGGTTGTATCTTTTTTGGATAGAGAGCTACCGTGAACGTTTCAGGGCAGAGATTCAAAGAGGAGAACAGGAGTATGACCAACTTTGTCAAGAACAAGTGGCAGTTCGATTTGAAGAAGAAGAGAACGTTATACGTCGTGCAACTGTTGTTGGCATGACGACCAGCGGTGCAGCGCGCTACCACTCAACCCTTCAGAGTATTGCTCCCAGAGTTGTTGTAATCGAAGAAGCAGCTGAGGTTATGGAAGCTCATATCATCACTTCTCTTTCACACGACACAAAGCATACCATTCTTATCGGGGACCACAAGCAACTTCGCCCAAAGGCAACAGCATATGAGTTAGCCCAAAAATACAACCTGTCGATTTCGCTGTTCGAAAGAATGGTGATGAACAGTATGGATTGCAAACGTCTGTCTATACAGCACCGTATGCGTCCTGAAATTGCTGCACTTACTAAACGAATCTACGATCACGAAATTGTTGACCACAAAACGGTGTGCGAATTCAAGGACATATCTGGCCTAACCCACAATCTGTTCTTTCTTGATCATTTTGAGCTCGAGGTCCACATAGACGGTATGCAAAGTTACTCTAACCCTCACGAAGCCGACTTCTCAGTAGCCCTTTGCAAATACCTTTTACTTCAAGGGTACAGACGAAACCAAATAACAGTTCTCACCATGTATACCGGTCAGCTGTTACTTCTTCAAGAGAAGATGCCAAGAAAAGCATTTGGGGGAGTCAGAGTCTGTGCAGTGGACAACTTTCAAGGTGAAGAAAATGACATCATTCTTCTGTCATTAGTTAGAAGCAATTTAGACCAGCGAATTGGTTTCTTAAACGAGTCTAACAGAATTTGTGTTGCATTGTCCCGAGCTCGCCATGGATTTTACTGCATTGGAAACTTCAAGCTACTGAAAAGCCAGAGCAAACTGTGGCAGGAGATATGTAACGATTTAGAGACAAAGAACGCCATCGGAGAGACTCTACTACTCGTATGCAACAGACACAACAATGTCACCAAAGTGAGAGCCTCGCATGAGTTTGATATCAAATTTGGAGGATGCAAGATGCCCTGTGGAGAACGTCTTGTTTGTGGCCATGCGTGTGAAACACCATGCCACGCTTCAGCCGACTTTCACGAAAAGGGCCACTGCTCTAAATTGTGCTTGATGAAATGCAGTTCCAACGACCACCAATGCCAGCATAGGTGCCATTATCCAAGAAACTGTCCTGAGTGACTTCAAGATATGCTAAAGACGGTTCCTCAGTGCGGCCACGAACGACCCGTCCCGTGCAGTGTTAACCCACAAATGTTCTCTTGTCAAGTCAAATGCGAAAAGCTCCTCCCGTGTGGACACAACTGCCAGGAAGCATGTGGGGAATTGTGTACAAAAGAATGTAAAGTTCTCTATAAGAAAACTCTCCCTTGTGGACATGAAAAAAAGTTTGCCTTGTTTCAAAGATCCCGAGGATTATAAAGGGTGTAACAGCAAGTGTACCAAAGTTCTCGAGTGTGGCCATCCTTGTTCAGGAAAATGCAAACAACGCTGTGAATGCAACACCGAAATTGAAGTTGAACTACCGTGTGGTCATCGAAAACGAGTTTTGTGTCCAAAGAAAGACAGGCCACCACAGTGCGCCGAAAGATGCAGGCGAGTACTGAACTGTGGACATGATTGCCACGGTATTTGTCACGAAGACTGTGCAATGCAAAAATGTGAAAGTGTTGTCTTCAAATTTCTTCCATGCGGCCATCAGCAAAGTGCTCCTTGCCACCTTGACCCCAAAAAGGCTTTTTGTTACGCTCCATGCCAACGACAACTGGATTGCGGACACAGGTGTTCTTCTGTGTGTGGCCGTGTTTGCCACGAGGTTCGATGTGAGGAAATGTGTCAAAAGAAGTGTAAGCGAGGTCATGGCTGCCAACAACGGTGCCACTTTGGTTCGTCATGTAATGATTGCATGGTAGTGGTTAACATGACAATCCCCACATGTGGACACAGCATTGAGATCCCCTGCCACGTTGATCCATCTTCACTGAGGTGTAAAAAGCCATGCGAAAGAGTAAGGATCTGCGGACATCATTGTCAAAACATTTGCAGTAAAAAATGTGAAGCTCAAGCGTGCAAGGAACTCGTAAAAACAACGTTACCATGTGGTCACGAGGCAACTTTACCCTGTCACAAGGATCCCGAAAAGTACAAATGTCAGGAAATAGTACAGGTTTGTCTATCATGTGGACACAAGACGTCCTTGGCCTGTCATGTTGCAAAAGCGAAGGTAAAAGACATATTATGCAACGTGAAAGTTGAGAAAGAACTACCCTGCAAGCACAAACTCACTCTTCCCTGTCACAAAAATCCTGAAGAGTGCAAGTGTAAGAAGAAAGTGGAAGTCCAACTGTCGTGTTGTCATATGACGTCTCTCATTTGCTCTACTGTGACAGCAGACTTACAAAATGTTTCTTGCAAGGTTAAGGTGAAAAGAAGACTACCATGTAACCACGAGATAACTATTCCTTGCTACAAAAACCCCATGGAGCACATTTGTGAAGAGGAGGTCGAAATCACCCTTTCCTGTGGACACAAGAAGCTCACAACCTGCTCTAAAGCGAGACATGGGCTGCATGATGAAATCTGTGATACAAAGGTGACAAGAAGATTACATTGTGGACATGAAAGGGAGATGTTGTGTTCAGACAAACCAGGTGAGGTTTTTTGTGATGCTCCTTGCGAACGTCTCCTTCCATGTGAACACCTTTGCACAAAAAAATGTGGCGACGACTGCTCTAGCTTCAAATGTGCCGTCAGAGTCCAGAAGCTCTTGGCATGTGGCTCCCATAAAATTAGTTGTCGTTGCTCTGATGATGTGTCCCAGATGATTTGTCCAAATGGATGCAAGCGGAAATTGTCTTGCGGGCATAAATGCCCTGGTAAATGCTCTGAGGATTGTAGTCAGTTCAAATGCCAGAAAGTGGTCGTGAAACATCTCAATTGTGCAGGAAGGCATTCTCTCAAAATGCCTTGTAGCGATGATCCCAACACCGTAAAATGCAAGGAACGCTGCAGCAATAAGCTAGATTGTGATCATCCTTGCCCGGGCCTCTGCAGCCAGAAGTGCGGAAGTTTAAAGTGCATGCGAAGAGTGGACAAAACATTTCCTTGCGGACACAAGGAACCACTACAGTGCTTTCAAAGCAAAACAGCGACCTGCAAGGAACGTTGTCGCCGACAAAAGAGCTCATGCAAACATATTTGTAAAGGGGTCTGCGGCGAAGTTTGTTCGAAATACCCCTGTGATGTAGAGGTGACAAAAACCCTGCCGTGTGGTCATAAGATTAAAATGCCTTGTAGTCGCTCTGTGGAAGATGTGCAATGTGCTGCTGCATGTGAAAAAACCTTGCCATGTGGTCATCAGTGCTCTGGAACTTGTGACGATTGCCAACAAAGTGGTTCACATGAGTTGTGCGAACATCCATGTGGTCGCTTGCTTGTTTGTTCGCATCGCTGTAAAGCAAGATGTAGTGAACCTTGCCCTCCCTGCGACAGAAAAAGCGACCGACGCTGCCCTCACGGGCAATGTAAAAAACGATGTGCCCAGCCGTGTGGCCCGTGCAGAAGACCGTGCACCTGGAATTGCCCTCACTACCAGTGCAAAAATCTCTGTGGAGAGGAATGCGATCGCCCTCGCTGTAATGCTCCCTGTCCCAAAAAACTGCCTTGTCGCCACCCCTGTATTGGCTGTCTTCAATGCTAGCGGATGGACGTGGAAACAAAACGGAACCCACGCGATATTTGCAACTTTTCGACTGTGGTCACATCATAAAGGTTGAAGAGATGGATAGCTGGATGCTCCGAGAACTGGGTAACGATGATCAACTAAGGCGATGCCCAAGGTGTTCTACATCAATTACATTCAGCTATCGTTATGGAAATATCATCAAGAGGGTACTGAAAAAAATTGAAAATGTAAAGAAAGCCGTATACGAGATCGTATACGAAGAAATCACTTCTGCCAGTCTTCTTCTACCAAAACGTTACCTGCGCAATGATGTAACCAAGCTTAAGTTTCCGCCAATGGTTCTACGTGTTGTACAGTCGTATTCAAACACAAG